TAAATGTGATCTTATATATCTTGAAACTGATGGAATCTTGAACTTTGGGAACATGGAACCTAAAATCACATTGCTTTATGAAGATCTTGATAGCGACTTGATCTTGATCTATGGTAGCGACTATTCACTCTGTGACAAAACAATGATGGAAAAAAGGAACAAAGTGAACATATAGTATTGCCCCGAAGGCTTGAGATTCATTAAATACATGTACATGTGGATATGAGACACTACTTAATATTTGAACTTTGCTTCAATCTTACTCATCTCTCAGACTTTATAATAAGAAATGTATTTGTAATAGCAAAAGATTTGAAGAACCAAAACACCTCTCCCACCAGCTCCTAGAAATCTGTGTCTTTTCCCTGCTGGCTCACTCCCCAAACACTCAAAACAGGTGAGGCTGAACTGGATTGAAGCCAAAAGCTTGGAACTCAGTCCATGTCGTCCACATATGTGGAAGGGACTTGGTTCATCCAGCCATCACCGTTGCCTCTCAGGGTCTGCATTGGCAGGAAGCTGGCAGCAGGAATCAGAGCCAGGTACTCCAATGTGGGAATTAGCTGCATCTGGCACTTCCTTCTTCTGAGGGTCCCTGTGAATAGATGTGGCAGCCACCATACCTATCACTGCCAGGTCACAGGGTTGATTTTTCATGTGTTCTTATGCATCATTCAAAATAGATGCAGGATGTTGCTGTACACACAGCAGTGGCTCAGTAAATACCTCTGTTCAATGATGTGAAATAGAAAACTGCCTATGAAAGCATAATGTAGTTCTTAAGAGTTGGGAAAACCCATTTTTTAAAAAAGATCTATTCATTTTTATTGGAAAGACAGATCTACCGGGACATATCTTCCATCTGCTGGTTCATGTCCCAAATAGACACAACGGCTGGAGCTGAGCTTATCCTAAGCCAGGAGCCAGGAGCCTTTTCCGGACATGGGTGCATAGGTTCAAGAACTTGGATCATCCTCTATGGCTTTCCCAGGCCACAGGCAGGGAGCTGGATTAGAAGTGAAGCAGCTGAGGCACGATCCAGTACCCATATGGGATGTTGCACTTACAGGCAGATAATTAGTCTGTTGAGCCACTGCACTGGCCCCAAATAAAAATTCAAATTTGAAATGTTCTCTTTTTACCCTACCTCAATCCAAGTGAGTTAATTTTGGCAGTTTAACCTAACTAAACTCTCAAAATTCAATGCCACCAATAAATCAAAATCTTAAAATTCTTTTACCCTTAAACAAATTTTAAAGGATATAACTTTTTACTTTGATAACAAATATGAAAATTCACCTCACTAACTTCATGAAACACTTGAATCAGAGATGGCAAACTCAATGGTTAATATAAATAATTAAATGTATATTAATAACTTATGTGAAACACTGTCCATGGATTGATTCACTTGAAGTTATTTTAATCAGGTAAACTGAAAAATAATAACCCATATATAACTTGGAAGAAAAATGTAAGAGAAAAAGGAAGACAGAGGGATGAAAGGAGAAAGTAATTTACTTTAAAAATAATTAATCCAAGTGACTGTGTAGTGGAGACTGACATGTCCAGATATGAGGATATGGTACTTCCAGATTGAGGATGGATTCCCAGTGAAACTGTTGACAACAGGATGCTGGACTCTGCTGTTGTCCATACCCACAATAATAGATTTATGACTGTCTATGAGGAACTATGCTGTTGTAATGATATGGGAGTGTTGGAGGGATTAGGGAAGGAGGTAGGGGAAATCCCAGGTCCATGGAACTCTATCATAAAAATGATAACATGATAATAAAAAAGGAAAAAAATAATCTTTAAAAATAATTAATCCAAAGCCTAATGTTCCCAGTTTTTTTTTAAAAAAAAGATTTATTTATTTTTCTTGGAAAGGCAGATTTACAGAGGTAGAGAGACAGAGAAAGAAATATCTCCCATTTGCTGCTTCACTCCCCAAATTGTGCGATGGCGAGAGCTGAACTGATCCAATGTCAGAAATCAGGAATTTCTTTCATGTCTCTCTCACGGATGCAGGCTTCCAAGGTTTTGGCCCATCCTTCACTGCTTTCCTAGACTATATGCAGGGAGTGGATGAGAAATGGAGCAGCTGGCACATGAACCAGTGCTCATCTAGGATTTTGGCACTTGTAGGCAGAGTATTAGCCACTTAAGCCATTGCACTGGCCTCTAAAATTCCTAGTTTTTAAAATACATTTTAGAAAAGGAAAAGAAGTTCATTAAAAGCTGACATGTTTAAATCATGATTAAAAAGCAAATTCCAAGGCCATTTTCTCATTTGCTTCCTAATTTTATCAGAACTATATGAAGAACCATGTGGTTTGCATACAGGATAAATAATGATATGATTTGCCCAATTTTTGTTTTTGTATATAGTTTAAGAGGCAGAAAAGTAAGCAAAACAAATATTTGAGTACAACATTCTCTTTTTCATGGTGTTTGTCTCAAGAGCTTTAGGAATATGATGGCAGCTTATTTAAGGCTTCCTTAAAAAGGGTGAATTACCCAGGCTTTCACAGCTGAAAAAATATTCATGATATAAAAGTTTTACATTCAGGACACATGTAGGAGGATACTTTAAAAAGTTTGTGGAAAAGCATATGAAAAGATAAATTTTGGTAAAAAAAAAAATTAAAGTGCCTGTTTTCTTCATAATACCCATTTTCCACGAACTTTTTGAAGACTCCATATATACATATTAGCATATGGTTTGAAATTATATTAAGCTAAACTTTTGATTCCTTATTGAGTTTTTTAAGTACCTAAACACTCATCATATGTGATGTTCTAAAGATGCTCTATTAATGTTTTGGAGTTACAAAAGAATGTCAATTCTATTATTATCCTGCCCTCGATATAATTTCATTTGTAAGTCCTTTCCAAGAACCACAATGAGTTATCTAGCACAGTTGATAAGATGGTGCCAAGGACACGTGCATTCCTTATTGGACTGCCTGGTTCAAACCTTAGTGCCTCCACTTTCATTTTTAAGATTTTATTTTTGTTGGAAAGGCAAATTCATGGAGAAGACAGACATATTTTCCATCTGCTGGTTCACTTTTCAAATGGTTGCAACATTGGGGCTGAGCCAATCTGAAGTCAAGAGCCAGGAGCATCTTCTGGGTCTCCAGTGTGGATACAGGGTCCTAAGGCTTTGGGCGATCATCCTTCACTGAGTTTCTAGGCCATAAGCAGGGAGCTGAATGGGAAATGGAGGAGCCAGGACACGAACTAGCACCCATATAGGATGCCAGTGCTCGCCAGTGGAGGATTACCCAATTGAACTGTCATGTTGGCCCTGGTGTTTCCACTTCAGTTTCAGCTTCCTACAAATGTGCAGTCCTTTGGGCTGGCACAGTGTTACGCATGCTAATCCTCCATTGTGCCACTAGCATCCATTATAGGCACTGGTCCCCAGCTGCTCCACTTTTAATCCAGCTCTTGCTAATGGCCTGGGAAAGCACCATAGGTTGGTTCAAGACCTTATGCAGCTTCACCCCCATGGGAGACCTGGAAGAAAGAAACTGGCTCCCAGCTTTGGACAGACCAAGTTCTAGCTATCGTGGCCATTTGGGGAGTGAACCAGTAGATAACTGTTATTTTCAAGCAAAATTGTTATATATCAATGATTTTTGGAAGCCACAAAGGGAAGTCTTCGCTAGTCAAAGGCAGTTTCAATTGAAATTTATATCAATTTTCCATTCTTCAAAGTAACTCACCCACATAAATAGTCAAAAAGGATTTCATTTAATTAGTGATACGTAAAGACCTTTGCATAGAAAAAGGTTACAAAGTAAGGCAAAAAAGATTAGGTACAGTAATTTTAAAACAAATATTTAGAAGTATAATTTGCATGTTTAACATTCTTATGTTTATTGCTTTCTCCACACAGCAGAGAAATGAAGTGCATAACACATGCTGTGTCTTTCAAATATAAAAATCTCACGTGCTCAATTTCAATGTATTAAGAGATTATTTTGTCATTGAACAAGTCCGAAAGACAAAACCAAAACACCATTATGTTGCACTAGTCTAGGCCAAACAAAAATAATTTATGTACATCCTATTGCATACATTCATCTTGATTTGGGACCAAATGCAATCACCATCTTGACAAAGAAGTGTTTACAAACTGAGGCTGCTCTATTTCCAATGCTCTCTTGTTGTCTCATCACCTCCAGAAATAGAACTTTTTCCCAAAGGTGACAAGACTAGATGTTACACATTAGCAGGAGAAAATGAAGAGGCCAGACAGGAGAAAACAGCCCCAATGGGACTGAATAAATTAATCCAAACTCTTGCAAACTGGGTAGTTTTCAAATTGGCATGACTCAAAGCTTCTGGTGGGCACACAGGCAACTCTTTCTAGGTGCACTCTGCAAGTGTAAGGTTTAAACAAGAACCACGTGTTGAACCATCAAAACAGAAAGGTGGCCAGGGGCTTGTAGGAAGAGCTGAGCTGCTGGTTCATCTGAGCACTGATGCAATATGGAGTAATTGCCTATGCTACTGCATTGTTAAATGTCATCACTTGATAAGGCCGTGCAGAGAGAGCTAACTAAGATAAGGTCTTTCAGCTTCAAAATGTTCAGCAATCCTTTTGCCCCCACAGACTCTCTTCTGGGATGGTATTACAATGTCTGCAGCCCAACACAAAGCCTGTCTCCCTTCCCTTCCTTCACCTACCCCCGCCCGCCTTCCTGACGTGTGTAATGTTATATGTTCACAGGAAACGTTCCTAGCTCAGGCACTTAGGAAACACCAGTATTTTTCCCCCAGCTAGTTTTGAGTGAATTCAGTTGGGGCATTGTTCTTCCCCCAAAGGAACACAATGAGGTGCTGCTGGGTGGTACCATCCATATATTTTCCAGGGAACTTCTAAGTGGAAACAAGGGTGATGTTTTTCAAAGTTGCTGATGTCAGTTACCAAGCTGCCTTAAATAAACAAGACAAACAGATACCAACATTTCCAATGTGTGAGGTTTGTGTCTCAAATAGCTTTCTTTCTTCTTCCTTTGTGAATCTGTAGCCACTTGCCTGGCTACCTTTAGGGTACAGAGGTTTGAAGCTGACTCTGAAAGGCAGGACATTCAGCTGCTATTGCAAGAAGTTCAGAGAACTTAGAAGGCGCCGACTTCTGTCCCCCAAGGGCGGTAGGGTTTACTGTTTGTTCCACTGCTTGTCTGCTGAGGACTGGCTGTGGCTGACACCGCCAAGGGAGGGCTGATCGCTGTAGCTGCTGCCACAGCTGCGGCTGCGTTTGGGGGCAGCATGGGGAAGGCCCCCGCGAAGGACAGAGGGAAGCTGTGTGCAGCTGCTGTGGCAGCTGCGGCAGCGGCATGGACTGTGGCAGAGAGCGACAAGAGAGAGGTGGAGAGAGGTGGCACGCAAGGAGCAACACTGCCGGTGGATGGCATCCGGAGGGCAGAATCCGCATGGGCGAATGTGGCCGTGAGCAGGGCAGAGCCGTGGGTAGGAGGCACTTCGGAAGATGTGGAGAGGCGACAAGCGGTTGACTCCGAGGCGTGGAGTCCGTTGGGCTGGAGCAGGGAAGCAGGCAGGTGATGAAAGGCGGCGGCCCAGTGGTGTGGGTGCAGAGCGTGGTGGTGGTGGGCCATGGAGGAGGTCATGGCTGCGGCCTCTCGCTGGGAGGCGCACGTGCTGAGATGGGAGACCAGGCGCACGCGCAGGGGATCTGCGGAGTCCAGGCCCTCCACAGAGCTCAGGTACCTGGCCACCTCCGTCAGGCACTCTCGGAAGCCGATGCTCATGAAGTCCATGGCAAGAGCGTGGGCGTCGAAGTAGCCTGGAAACGGGGTTGGGCCACGTGGGGGTGAGGAGAGAAGGGAGGTATAGGACACAGTTAGAAGGAATGACCACCCAGATGCTGCCCTCTGCCCTGGCAAGACCAGAACAATGCAAGCCCCTTCTGGAATGTGGCCACCTGGATATGGTTTTATTCATGGTGTCAGTTAAGAACGATGCTGCAGTGTGACCAAGCTGCAATGCCATCTACTAAGGTTGCTCTGGGACTGGCTTCCACTGTGGGGGGAAATCAACGTGGTGGTGGCTCTCCTACTCTAGGCCAGGGCAATTGCCCAGGAGACTTCTTCATGGGAATGGAGTTCTGGCCTCCCTGTCTCTGACCTGAGTCGGGCAGGAACCTATGGATGTAAACTCCCCTTAGGCTCTGGGGATTTTAACATAGCAGCCCCACACGTCCTTGCTTGAGACCTTCCTTTACAAAGTGCCAGAATCTCAACAAATGTGTACACGATTCCTGACGCACAATGTTCTTTATCACCCAAATGAAAACACTGCCATTATTTTGTGTGAAAAAATTGAACAAATTGAATTTTTAAAACAAAATAGTAAAGATTTTTCTGACAGGCAGCATAAAAGTGCTGTATCAATCGGAGATTACTGTAACTCCGAGGTTTTTTTCATTACTTGGCTTTTTTTCTCCTGACTTTGGCCTAAGGAAAATAACTTGGGTGTTGTGTCAGCATCCAGGTACCCCATGTCTGTGGTTATGATTAAGACATTGATTAGAGTGGGGTCATATTTCTTACAGTCCTTTTTCATTGAGAGATAATACATTAGGATGTCAAACAGCAAGTGTAATTATTACAGCAGCAATTTAGGGTACAATAATAATCAGACATTTGGGGTCATATCACCTACATGGATCAAATAATGTCTAGTATGTACACATTCTTTCCCACCTGAAACCTTTTAAAAAGTAATTTTTAAATGAAAGGGTTAGACTACTCATTTTGAGATCTGCCTTAATACCAGTGAGACACATTCAAAGAGACACATTCAAAATGAATGCATTTCACTTTAGGCATTTATTACATTTTCTTTTATGCTTTTCCAGATCAAGGCGATATCAATCAGCCCTGGCAACACCAGCATTGCCAGGGGTGCCAGACTGAGTCCTGGATGTTTTGCTTCCAGTCCAGTTCCCTGCTGGAGCGCCTGGACATGGTGGAAGATGGTCCAAGCCCTTAGACTCCTGCCACCCACACGGGAGACCTGGATAGAGCTGCTGCTGGCTATTCGAAATCTTTGTCACTATGACATTCAAATAAATAGAAATAAAAATAAATTAGATTGTTGTAGTCTGCAATCAAAGCACTTTGGAAAACTAGTGCATATATTCAACCTCCATGAACAGAAATGTAGACAAATCAGAAAAAGCATGCCTGCATTGTCGAACTATCAAAATCACCTGAGCAGAGCCCTTGGAGCAGGCCTCACACTGGGGACCCAGAATGTTGGGGAGGCTGGATGTGGCTTCTCCCCTTATCTCTCCCCTTGCCCCAGATACAAGAAGGAAAAAAGAGAATGTGATAACAATGGTCTCACCCTCTTTCCTCTAGCCCTTGACCCTTTGTACCCTAATCCACTATGTAAAGATTATCGACAAAATTAAAAAAAAAAAAGGATGCCTGGGGCTGAAACAAAACCAAAAGTGCAAAGCTGAGGTAAGAGAATATCATAAAAGGCTGAACATCAGCAACAGCCATCATCATCATTATCCCAGGAAAGTGGAACAGGGAGCAGACTCAGTTTCTGGGAGCAGAAGCAAAGCTATTGCTGAAGAGATACTTCCATGGAAAGAGCCCACATTTCAGTTCTCAGGCGTCTCCGAGAAGGAAAGTGGTGCAAAGTGGAGGTGACAGACCACAGAAACCCAGGCTGCAGAACTTCAGCATACCCTAAGTCCTCTCTGGCACCCACTGTCATGCCAGGGCAGGTTGCAAAGAATGAACTATCACAATTGGAAGGTTATGAGCATCTATAAATTGTTATTAGTGGTAATGACGTTTTGGTTTGCCAGCTCTGTTGGACATGGTCAAGTCCTCTGTTACATGTTAAAGAACATATGTGCCGTGACTTCACTGCTGTTGCTGAGTACACAGGGAGAGATGGTGAGCAGCTATCTCCTATGAATATCAGAACAGCACGCAGGCCTTTACACTTCCTTTGTGCCAACACTGTTCCATGAGCTTGGATGAAAAAAATTTTTTTTCATTTATTGATTTGATAGAGAACAAGCCAGATAAATCCTGACAGACAAGGAGCTCCTAACTGCTAGTTTACTGCTCACATGCCAGAAATGAACCAGGATCAAGTTGGGAAGCAATAGCAGTCTGGGTCTCCCATAAGGTTGAGCAGAAACTCAGCTGCTTAGGCCATGACCTCTGCCTCCCAAGCATCAGCATTAGCAGGAAGCAGGGGATAGCAGGGGGCGCTAGCAGTCAGACCCACGTCCTCCAACTAAGCCCAGCCTTGTTCCATAGGTCTTCAGTGACTTTACTCTTAAAGCCTTGTGAGGTCGATATTATCATTGCCCTCATTTTACACAAGGTGAAACTGGGACTCACAGAGGGTTAATAATTTCTCCCCTGGGCACATAGTTAATAAATGGCAGAGTGAGGATTTGAAATCAGGCATTCTGGCCACAGGGTACACACCCTTTCCCACTATGTCATGAGGCAGCTGAGAATCTTCCGCAGTCAGTTCCCAGTGCCAGAGCCTGTCTTCAAGGCCTGTGCACTCTGCTGTGTGATGACTTCCCTGGTGGCCTGGCATGGACCTGACAACATATGGAGCCTACTTGGCAGTGCCTGCTCACAAACTGTTCTGGGATGGATTTTAGGACTGTAGAGGTAACCAAGAATGGCTCTGTTTTTTTTTCTTTTTTTTTAATCATAAATCTGAACAACAATATTACACAAAGCTGGAAGTTCAGCACATACCAGGTAACTGAAATTCTGGTAGAAGTCTTAGCAGATGGCTAACAATGGTCAAGTAGGCACAGACATAAAACAATTCTTGCACCATTAGTAACTCAACTCGTCATCTGATAACCTGAGATCAAAGCTGTAGACAGAATTAAGAGGCTATAGAGGCACTGAAGGTCACCTTGCTGGAGTAAACTTCAACAAGTAGCTAAGTACTTCTGTCTCAGGTCAAAGACAAGACAGTAGCCTAGCTGGGCTGGACCATGAGCTTCCAGGAATCCATCCGAGTCCATCCTCTATTATGTAAGAAGGTTTACATCCTATTACACTCAGTTCATTTAGGACGGTTCCACTGCTTCCGCTGGTGAGCACGAGTTAGGACAGTTCCTTAGCCAAGTGCAACCTGGTCAAAGCATGTGGACTTCCCTGTATAATGATCACAGCTCATACTCTCACACCTGACACAGGTCAATGATGGTTAAGATTGGGGTTAAGGCCCAAGAGGTTCTAAGTAGTATGGCCACACAGGAGGGAGTAAAAATACTGAAATACTTTATTACCAGATGGTAAACAATGGGTCTCTTCCACTCCTATGCTCCAGTACTCCAGATATGATGTTGCAAAAGGCTCATACTAATGGGTCAGTGTTGTGGCACAGTGGAATACGTCATTGTCCACAACATGAGCATCCCATATGGGTGCCAGTTCAAGTCCTTTTTTATTTGAAAGTCAGAGTTAGAGAGAGAGAGATAGGGGAAGATGAACACACACAGATTTCCATCTACTGGTTCACTCCTCAGATGGCTGTATTAGCCAGTGCTGTGCTAAGCCGATGCCTGAAACCAGAAGCTTCTTCCAGAAGCTTTTTCCAGGTCTCCTGTGTGAGTGGAAGGGGCCCAAATATTTGGCCCACCTTCTGCTGCCTTTTCCAGGCCATTAGCAGAGAGTTGAACTGAAAGTGAAGTGGCTAGGATTCAAACCAGAGTCCATATGGGATGTTGGCTTAATAGAATTTACCTGATTATAACTGATCACAACACAGGCCCCTTGCTCCACTTCTCAACCAGCTCACTGATAACATGCCTGGGGAAGCAGTAGAAGATGGCCCAAGTGTTTGTGCACTTGCCACCCATGTGGGAGACTCAGAGTTTCGGCATGGACCAGCCTCAGTGAGGAGTGAACCTGTGGATGGAAGGTCGGTCTGTCCCTTTTTCCCTCTTTGTATACGTGTGCCTTTCAAGTAGGCAAATCTTAAAATAAAGACTAATGCTGAGCACACAGAGAGAGATGAGTTACAGTCCTAAAGTTCTTGCAATATCTTCTCCTTAACCAGTTGTGAAATACAGAGTAAGACTGTAGGCTGAGATTCTCAGGCTTCCTTGAAGGGTGAAAAGAAGACATAATATGGTAAACTCAAGTCTGGGTGATGTGTGGGGCAGTGGGATGATGAAATGTGAAAGAATGTTTCTGCTTTTAGCATCTGTCTGTTTATAGAACCCAAGGAGAGTCCCTTTGTAAGTCACGATCCAGCACAGAGGGCATCTCCACAGAGGGCATCTCTCCAGGGCTTCCGGCCCAGAGCACCTGTTCCTTTGCTGTCCAGCCTAGCTCCATTAATAGTTTCTAACAGGGAGTTACAAAACCCCACTTCACTCTGTTACTGCTAAAACCAAGACCAAACAAAATTTGAAAAGCACCACAAAACAATTTTAGAGTCACTTCCTTTGGAATAACGAGGCGATTTTGATTTAATGGATTGCCTCTTGCCTTCTGTCTGTGTTGGGATGTTTGTGTGTGTCTTCCTATAAAGGTTCCAGCATGTGCTTGGAAGCCCCCAACAAATCTCTGACCAGGCTGCTGTGAATGAGGCTTTGCTCTCACAGTATTATGAACGCAAACATAAGCCCAGGGTCAAGTGCTGCTTCTGTTCCCAAAGTTCTTTCCCACGAGTTCAATCCTGCCATTAGCATTGATTTCCACGGCTTTAATCTGGGACCGCCTATCTCAGCTTGTTAAAGAACTGTTAAAGAACTGTTCAACTATGAGCGGTTTACAATATTGGGGGTGGAGTAGGGGAGCAGTGTGCTGAAAAGAGAAATGGAGAAAAAAAAAATGCAGCCAGCCAGTCACTCACCTTTACCTCCTGTTGCCTGAAGCATCTTCAAATGATCCACTGTCATTTGCAGGATTTCAGCTTTCTCTAACTTTGCGGAACCCTGAATAAACAAGCATCAAAGTTTTTATGTCTTACGGTGACTTGAAAAGTTATATACTGAAGTTAGCAGTATATGATTTCAATTTTCCCTCTCATTGGAAAATTCCAAGTTTGTCCCTGCCCACACAAAAATTTGAATTCTTCCAAATCTGACACAAAAACATTGGTTATTATGTCATTGGCAAGTATGTCATTTTAATTTTTAAACATTAAAATAAGGCTCAACAAATGACTTCTAAATTATATTTTTACTCCTAAGATCACTCCACCAGAACTAGCTCAACTTCAAAATTCTCAAACTTTGTACTGTCATTTTGAGACATATAACAGCCTCATTTAATGCCGAAATCGAGATCAGTTAAATGGTTAAACATGTATTCTGGAAGAAAAGGAGGCAGGATTTTAGCAATTATTCTAAAATTTTAGAAATTACTACATTTTTCAAGAACAGAAAATTTTGGTAAGTCCTTAAGGTAATTAATTAAACTGGACGACTACAAAAAGAAACAAAATGAGAGGCCTTTGGGTGCACCTCAGTGATTACCAGCAGGTGTCACTGTGAAGTCCAGGATCATAAGAAATAATACTTAGAAAGTATCAGAAACACAAAAGGTTATTTAGCCTTGCAAATAGTTTTTATTTAGAATTAACAGAATTACCTTCAAAAATATTTTTAATATTCCTTTTCTCAAAATGAGCCAGCTTCCAGAAATCAACTGATATGCAAATATACCACCTCAAACTGTCCCAAGAAACTGCTGGTGGCTTCTAATTTCCTAGAAGAGCTAAATAATTAAACCAACATGCTGGATTAATTATTATTTTTTTTCTTCTACAAGGATACTAATGATTATTTCAGGTTCCTATGCTTTCCTCGTATTGCGAAATTCTTAGCACCCAGGACCTGGTGTGAGTTATTTAACTAGTCTATAGAAGGCAGTCACGCTGTGACAAGGCCAGCTCCTGGGGTTGGTAGCCAAGTTCCCCAAGTGGGAAAGCTTGTGTTTATGGTAACTGCCAAACGGCTGAGGTCTGCTATTTAAGTTTGTTTTTAGTAAATATTTAAGAGAAAAAAAAATCCAACAAATTAAGTAAAAGAAACCAGAAGACAGATTGCTCTTCCTAACTGCTCATGCTTCCGTCCTGGAAGCTTTAAAAACACCATTGCTGACCAGCAGCTTGATTTACAGCCTGTGGTCTTTGAAAATGCTACTCAACAAAGCTGTAATTTCTACGTTCTATTTGCTTATCAAAGGCCGCCGCAGCATACAGACTGGATGTCTTTGTCTTAAAAATGGATAATCAGCAGCACATTGCGTCCTGCACCAGTGTCAGTGCTTAACTTTTCCAAGAAGGTACACAACTAGCCTCGGTGAAAGTGACTAATAACCAAAACTGCAGTTCCTGGATGATTTCCCAGGGCTTTGTTGGGCTTGTTTTACCATGTTTGCGGATTCATGAAGTAAACGACAAAGTGGAATAAACAAACAACTGTTGTCTTGTACTCTATTTGGAACCAAATTGAAAATATTTTCAACAAGCACATGCTGCCACATCCTTTGAACCATGCTCTTAGAGACCTGTGCCATTGGTTGCTGCGGCACAAAGAGAAACGTGGCTTTTCTTTTAAACTACAAAAGAAGATTTAAACATTTGGTTTTCTATTTTTCTAAGTGTGCAAACTTTTCCTGGGTAAAGAAATGATTCAAGTCTGAAAAAGGGCATTTATTACTAATTTTTATCAAACTTCCAAAAGGATGCCCTAAACCAAACATCCTAATTCTATTAGCCCTGGGATTAAAAAAAAAGAAAGTTGATTGATAAATAAGTTTTATCGGAATTATTTTTTGGGAAATAGAGCTAGAGATACTCCTTTCTGGATTTTATGTTTTTTTGCATAATAAGACAACTCCTTTCTTAACAGTTTGGAGGAAAAAAAAGTATACTTCACATACGATTTATTTTAAGGGGGCAGGAATACTATATATATACAGCATGGTCTTAAAACCACTACTGGTATTCATAGAAAGAACAGAGAAAGCATGAGCACTGTTACCCTTAAGGGGAAAACAAGCTAAAGAATGGAAATGTTTTTCAGCTTCAAGTTGGATTATGTTTTTAATAGCTTCGCCACAACAAAGCATTTTATTGAAAGAGCTGCCCTGTGCCAGATCAGGGCACATACACCATTATTTTAATGAGCTTTAACAAGAACCCACATTCCCAGATGAGGGAATCAGATTGTTTGAGCTTTTTTGGGGGGGTGGGGGGTAGGGTGGGGAGACAGGGAGACAGGGAGACAGGGATGGGAGCAGCTTACTTACTTGTTTTTCAAAAGCAGTTGGCACCAGTCTTCTCAATTCAGATAAACTATTATTTATCCGATCCCGCCGCCTTTTCTCTATGATCTATTCCAAAGAGAACAGAAAAACCAAAGTTCATGAAGATACAATGATAAAAACTACTCACAATGAAAAATGCAACCGTTGCATATTAGTCTGGATTACTTGAAATAAAACCGGGCTGGGGTAGGAGGCAAATCACATACCCCTCTTCTTTTCTTTCTCGCCATAATCTGAGATGTTGTTGTGGGAGAATTCGATCTTATCACGGAACCAGTACTTTGCCTATGAAGTAGGAAGAGAATGTCAGGTGCCGCATTAACATAACAATAGCTGGGCTCATTAAATAGTCAAAGCGGTTGCACAGAACGCCTGTTTTATTTTACTCTGGGTTCTTCACCCTTAACAGATTGTGCATTTAGTCCTGCTGCCTCTTTTCAGGTAGGAATTATGTCGCTCTGTTTTGTTTTAAACTTGTAATGGGTAATCCAGATGTCAAATCCGTTGGCAAAAAATGACCCTGAATCTTCAGTCTCCCAGCGAAACAACTGTATTTAGGGTGAGAAATTACACTCCCATTTCATAGTTCTACTCCCACATATTTCTTAAGTCAATTAATCTCCAGTAGAATCCTTCCTCCTCTCTCCTGTCACACTCACTGACCAAAGTAACAGCACTTTTAAAAATGAGGATCATGGTAAGCTTCAATAAGAAGCAGCTTTACATCATCACTTGTCAAACTGTGGTCCCTTGATGTAACACTGAAACACAACTTATTCCAGTGTTTCAAACAGTGAAATAGTCATAGGACAGAAATGAATAAATTTGATGTGTGGTACAGTGGTCTTCCAAAAGCACGTCCCAAACTAAATATGCCTATGCCGCTATTAGGAAAATTAAAATTTGTCTTAGTACTAGGTAAAGGCTGTGAAAATGAAACGGTTTCTCAGCGGTCAAACCACGCTTAAATCTCAAGAAACTTGCTAATGAGTCGCTGTTTTGCAAAGTCATTCGAATTATTATGTGGCCAGGTAACTCGTACAACCCTGCCTACTCTGTCTCAGACTCGTTCCGTAAATTCATGGATACTATACTTCCTCATGTTCTCAGGTTCCCCGGGTTCCTGTTATTTGTTCTTGTTCATTTTAGAGATGCCGCACACATCAGGTTTCTATTACCTCACCTTTTCACTTCTGGATCTTGTTTCTGAATCAACTGTCCCCTATTATTATCACCCCTTTTCTATTGGTTTCACCTTTCACGTGACACCTTCCGTTTTTCGGACCTTACCTTTTAAGAGGGCATAATGACACTTTAAAATCAGAATCTCTGCAACCCAAGTTTCGTTTTTAAAAAACACAAAACCAAAAACATGTGCGCTGATTTGAGATCTTGGTTTGCACATTATTAGGTTGGGAGCAGCAGAGCAAACTAGGTTTTCCAAGGTAGGAAGCATTTCGCTCTCTGACAGCTGTAGATAAATAATTAAGACGCTTCTGGGGATGCCAATTAGAAGCAATTATCATCTGACCCGTCTTGGCTCTAAATGCCTTGCTTAATCTCCCTCTGTCACGGGAAGGAGGAGGTTTGGCTCCTGTGATCCCAACGAGATCCTCTCCAGACTGAACCCCGGGACCGACGTCCGAGCCATCCTCCACCGCGCGCACTCACTGGCGAGTTAGGCAGGTCACACTCGGTCAACCTGAAAAGCTCAATAACCGCAGGCTTCCCTCAATCCTTCTAAACTGCCTGTCCTCAGCCTCTGAGGCAAGTGCCCGCTACAGTTTCGGGGGCAGGGGCGCCTCTTCGGGCGCTGCCAAGCCTGACAGCCGGGGACCCTCCCTCTCCAGCCGCGTCCCGTCTCCTCCGACCCATCCCTGCAGCCAAAGCCGGGCAGACCTCGCCACACCCCAATGCACGCACTGCAGAGCCGCACCCCAATGCACGCACTGTCCCGCCACCGCACAGCCTCCCGGGCAAAAACTTCCCTCCTCGCGGCTCCAGGAGCAACACAGCCTCGGGCTCCGGGCAGCTCCTGCACGGCGCGCGCGCTCACCCCAAGTAATTGTTCTCGCTCCCCACGTCGATGGTCTCGTCCATGTCGCTCTCGGAGGTCGTCTCCTCGCAAGGGCGCTTCATCGTGGGGAAGACGGCGCGGGCCGCAGCCACGGACGCCGAGTGGGGCGCGGCGCCCTGCCCGCCCGCCTCCTTCCCTCCTCCCCGCTGGGCCTCGGCGGGCGCGGCTCCCACGGCGACACGCTCGGCTCCTCACGGCTCTTTCCCACGCCGCGACCCTGCTCCGCCGCAAGAGCCGGCGCGGGCCACGCCTCCCGCGCGGGCGGGGTCCCCGCACGCTGCCCCTGCGGGCCCCGCCTCCCCGGAGCCCGGCGTGGCCCGCGATTGGCTGGGGCGGCAGGCGGGGCCGCGCTCGCCCACGCCCGCCTGCAGGCCGCGGCTCGGGCGTGGGAACGCGGCGGCGCACCTGGGGCCCCGGAGCCGCGCGCCGAGGCTGTGGAGGGCGCGAACGCGAGCTAGCGGGTGTCAGGCGGGCGAGCGCGCAGACGCGAGCGCTGCCTGGGGGTCTGGCCCTCAAGGTTTTCAGGGCAGGGTTTAAAGAATAACCCCGAGCGCGTGGTTGAGTGTGTGCGGGCGGCGCCAGGGCTTCACCCCCCTCGGCTGTCCCTGGTCTGGACCGTAACCGCTGACTGGCTGACCTAAGCGGTCACGTTTGGCCTCTGGAGATTTAGAAAACCATAAATTAGAGTTGGTTTTTCTCTCTGACGGTTCCTCAGCTGCGTCCGTGACCTCTGGGCTGGACAGATAAGAGCGCGCGTCCCCCCACAGGTACTTGTCCGGCGGCCCCAGGCTCCGCGGCTTCCCGGGCCGCCGCGCGCTCCACCCGCGTTAGCGGCGCCCGCGTGGGCTCAGCGCCGAGCGCAGACCCCGCTGCTGCGCAGAGTTGCCCGGGCGGCCTCTGCCCAGGCGCCCGGAAACGGGTAGGGCCACGGCGCGGGTCGTTAAGGCGCCCCTGTTGCAGGTTTCTCAGTTCAGGTACCTGGGACTGGGATAATTTGGATAATTCGCTTCCATTTTCCCTCCAGCCGTCCAGATGTATGCGGCCGCAGCCTTCGGGTTTCTTTGGCTCCAGAAAGCAGAGGCTTGCGCTTGGAGCTGCAGTTCTGTGACGGACCCACTCATGTCCAGCATGTTTTAGGGCATTAGACACGCGGCCGTGAACACCCAGGTTAGGCTTTCAGTGAAACGGTTCCCAAACCGCTCTTTCTGCTCACCTCCGTGGGACTTGAGGGCGCCAGGTACGCTTCTCCAAGGGCAGAAACTGAGCGGTCCATCACGGGGCTGCCTACGGGTGGTGGACCAGGCGGGGAGCCGCGCACCTTTAGGAACAGGGCATTAGGGCTGACCCTCATGTCTCGCCACGAATCTGGGCCACGGAGTGGGTAGTTTGGTTTGGTTTGAGGAGCACTGTCTCAGGGCACTCCCTGGACACCACTTTGTTTCATATCCAGGATGCGCGCTGGGCGGTCCAGGGACAAGGAAAAGAGGTGCTGGGAGAGACTGGGTGCAGCCGAGGGGATGGAGGTGGGTCGGGCGGGAGGAACTGTGGCCAGCGTGTCCCTCCCTCATTAGAACACAAAGCCGCGGCCCCGCCAGCACCATCTCCACTGCGCCTCCCCGCCTTTGGAACCGTGTGAACAGAAACCCGAGATGCTGTGACTTCTGAAATTTCTCCCGGAGGGGAGCGCACGGGCGGTGCTGACCGCTCCCCACCCCACCGCGCGGCCGTCAGCAGGGTGAGAGTCTCAGGGCTTCTGCTCCCTGGGGGTACGTGGTGCCCGCAGCCGAGCGCAGTGCGCAGGGCAGCCTGGGTCCAGCCCTGCCTAAGTCTGCGGGGAGTTCCCTTCCCCTCCCTGCCCTGGCAGTGGGCCTGGCGGGTCTGGACTGACGCATCTCACCAGGGGTTACAACTTAACCTCACCCCCGCCCCCCATGCCTACAGGTGAAATGAACATTTCCACGCAACCAAGTTAACTTGTGTTTCCAAACGCTGGTGGCAAACCCTTAAGTTATCATGGGAAAGGGAAGGGGCACCAAACCAGCAGTATCAAGAGTTCTTTTGTCACTGTGTTAATGCAGTTCATGTATTTCATTAGGATGGGAAACTTTGCAGAGGGAGATGGTTTGTTTGCAATAAAGCCTCTGACTGGTTAGAGTTTTTTTCTGTTTGTCTTTGAAGACAACCGCTGTGTCGTGTTAGAAACATATCGCAGGGACTGCTGGAAGCGCGCACGCACACACACACGTACATATTTAGTATAATTAAAAATAACCTTTTAAGCGGAGGGAATCATTTTAAAAGGACTTACAACACTGCAAGTGGGGTATGAGTGTTAAACACGAATGCGTAGGGCAAGAACAGTGTTTTGAACACTAGAGGATGCCCATTTATGTTTAAAACGAATTGTAATTGGGTAGCCCGAGACATTTCCATTAGATCTTTTATTCCTCTCATGTGTCCCATCCGCCTGTCCCCTGGGAAGGCGCCATGTCTGCGTCGTCCCAGAGACACACAGAAGGAAAACCTCTGGGCTCCCTGGGCAGGCTTCCAAAGGGTCGCAGACAGGAGGTTGTGCGGGAAGCAGCATGGGGTGGCGGATACTGAATGTGACCCAGCAGCGTGATCTCCTGCTCCCGGTCTCTCTGTGACGCTTTTCAGTGAAAGTTGGTTGAAGTGGCTCAGATACTGAGTAGGGAAGGCAGGAAAAAAAAAAAAAGTCCGGGTGCAGACCAAACTGCCGTTCTGTTCGTTCTTTTTGGAAGATCTGTTTGAGAGAATTAAAGCCAGCCATGTAAGAGACCTACCTGCCTAGAAACAAATCCCATAGGAAAGAAATCCCAGGACTATAGGTCTGAAGGGGGAAGGGAAGGCTCTCCAGGGGTTTGTTGCTAGTGAGAGTTGAGTAGCTGGTCTGAGGGCGAGGACCCTCTGGTAGTAGCAGATGGGTTGGTCCTGAGCCTTCTCACCATCTCTTCCCTCTAACTGCTTTGTGTAAAGTTGCAGTATTTGCATCTGTATTGAGTTTGGTGATCTTGACCTAGGGTTTTATCCTGTAGTACAAATTTTAAGTTTTGTAGCACTGTCCAATAAGGCAATTATTTTTGCTGCCATTCTAAAAATTTGCCTTACAGTGTGTTTGGAACAAACCTTCCTCCCCACAACCCTCCCCCACCCCTACCCTGTTGACTTTTTTCTTTCTTTAGAGTCCTCTGTTTTTTCTTTTTTTCAAGATCTTTTGTCACAAATAGTTACTTGTTGCTTTGAATCCCTTCAGATGCTACCTATAGTTACATTAAAAAAAGAGACGAAGAAGAAACTGGGCAATCGAATGTTTGCTTGACTTAGTGTGAATGACATCTGAGCATGAGATCCTTATAAAACATGTTTTAACTTTGTATCCCAAGAAAATCAGGGAAACTCTGTGATTTAAAGACTTTTGTGTTAGTCTGAAAGCCTACACATAGACCATTTAAATGGAGAAGTCCTGCATTTTGCTCCATGTGAAATATTGTATTTCTTTACACAGTTGTTTCTTGCAATGGGAAAACAAACAGGCTGCCCCAGAAGTGCTAGTCTATTTGCAATGGCTGGGGCAGGTGACAAGCACGTGTGTATCTGCAGGCAGCCTTGTTGGGCTGCCTTCCCAGACTACAAGGCTATTGTGAACTGGTAACGCCTTAAAATGTGTGAGAATGCTGCACCCTGGGAGTAGAGGCCAAGGGCAAGATCCTTGTAAATTTCAATACCTTTCCCAACATCAGGCTGGCAGCATTCGGGCCAATCTAGGGTCACTGTGTGACACATATTTGCAAGCCAGTAAAGCAAAACAAAGCCTAAAGCAAGGGCACGCTTAGGCCCACCAACCTTGAAATCATCTCTAAAAGGGAGCTGCTTTACCCATTAACAATTGCACATTCCTAGTCAGCCACAAAAAGTGCACCGTATTTCTTGGCTTACTCCGGGAGGGGCTATTTATTTAAAGTTATTTCAGAGACTCCGTGGCAGGCAGTCTTAAGGACCCAAGCTCTAGTTTCCTGCAAGTTAGAATGTTTACATTGCCTTCTGTTGTTAAGGGACAATTTATTTATAAGCCTTTATTTCCGGAGGTTATTAGTGCTTCCTTAGCACATGCCCAAGGATGAATGCTGGTTTTATTATGGGACCCAGGAAGAGAAGAGGGTTGTATAGCAAGTGTCTGTGTTCTATACCCCAGCAGCAAGGGCCAGTCAGAAGATAACAATACTCATTGCAGTGACTGCAATGTTGATAAAATTAATGTTGGAAAGCATTTCTTTTAAGGGAATTCTGGAATTCTTTTACATTTCCATTTTTTTTGAAGTGGTTTGATTTTAACAGCTTTTTTTTTTTTTTCCCTCTTACGGTAACAGTGAAATATATTCTGACCTGTAATGAAAATGGTCCTTTAACTGTGTCCTTAGCCTCCAACCAAATGCCAGGTACATAGTGGGTTTATAATAAACACCTTAAGATTAATTTCTGATTGAAGTTAATGAACTCTGCTTCTTCTATGTATGCAGAATTTCGATCTATTGGAGTAATAAAAAGGAAAGCAAAGTTCATGGAAAGAGGAAGAGATACACTTAACTATGAGCAGAAAACCATTTACTGAGAATGGACCCTTAGTACAACCTTGATTGTTCAGGCAACGGAGTTGGAGCAACATGGTGAGTTTTTTAGTTTTCATAATAAGAAAGGAGGAAACACTGGTGTTTATATAAAAGATTTTTCCCAGTCACTGAATTCTGAAAGAACTGAAGTCTAAAAGAACTGCATAATTGTCTTGCTTCCAGCCTCTTAAATTTGTATTTTAAGGATCTAAAATAATTCTTTTAAAATTCCCCCCCCCCATATCTCTATTAATTATGGTTTGATAGGCATAAATGAAAATAATATTTTACCTGCTAGGAGCTGAATCAGCCATGCATGAAAATGCTAGTTTAACTCTTTAAGAGTTGAATCACATTTCCTAAACTATTAAGATTAATGAATTTACTTTACTAGTACCAGTGGCTCGCTAAGTTCCAAAAATGTAGAATTTCTGTGGGAAACTTTCTGCTTTCAGTTTCACAAAAAACTAAGCATCAAAAATTCCTGTGTCTGCTTGGTTGGCATTACTTGGTAAAAGCAAAAAAAAAAAAGAAAGGTTCTTGGTGTTTCTGTACTGTGAAGTGCACTATTAAGGCTGAAATAATTTAT